GGGCTGCCCCCCCCCCCTCGTCGTCGTCGTCGCCGCTCTCCGACTCGGTCCAATTTTTTTGTGGGGCGTCGCCAAATCGCTTGTCGCTGAGAACCTTTACTAAAGCCGCCTGACGAGCTTGCCGATCAGCGTCGTCCGAGAAGCCCGGCATCATCACCGCGCCAGGTGGAACCCCCTGTTGTGTACCGGTATGGGGGGTAACCCTGCTGGGAACGGCCTGGTGGGCCATGCCGCTCGGTGCCCGCTGTGCCGCGCCAGCAGGCGCGGTCTGGGCGACCCCATGCCCAGCAGCAGCACCACTTTCACCGCATCCTGCAGTCTCAGAGGCAATGATTTCGCTCTAGATGGCCGGCCTGCCGCTGCTACGGCGTTGTTGTTCATGGTGTGGGTTTATCGCGTCTGCTGTGGAATGCCTCGGGCCTCTCGCCTGGTCGTGACCGGTGTGTGTACGTCGGCATCGACGCTTTCCGGGATTTTGAAAAAAAGGCGCGCCTCTGCCGATTGGAACCAATGGAAAACCGGAACCGGTTCCGTGCTAAAAATTACGAATCGGTGAAAAGAAACCGGCGCGTTAATAACACCCCTAAAAAAATCCTTGTCTAGGATTAAAGAGACGCGCTGCAATGTTCGTTGTTAGTAAACCATAATCGACTTCGTAAGTCGCGAGGGAAGGGATTGCTGTGCCCTTCTCGCGATAAAAATACCTCAGGTAGGAACCGCAGGAGGGGGTCCACCCCCCCCTTCCTGTGCGACCCCGGTTGGGTCGTCTAGCTGGTAGAAGTGGAGGGCAGGGGGCAGGGGGGCAGACGACAGAGTCCAATGATGGGAGAAAAAAACCAAAAAGTTCGCCACAAGTGCTGCCTCGGCCGCCCTTCTCGGTTCTACTNATAAAGGAGTATAGCATACGGCAGGGAGGGAAACCGGGCGCAACAACATCAGCCGGGTGCATAGTTCGCCACAAGCGTTGCCTCGGCCGCCCTACTCGCTTCTACAGCAGTGCCCGTTCGCCGTTTCTTCCCCCCCACCGCCGCTTCGCCGGTTCTCTTTCTCTTCGGTCCTGAGATGGTCGTACTCTCTGCTTCTGCTTCCCGCGCGCGCTGGCGCTTCGCGGACGCTTCCGCCTCCTGCCTGTGCCATTTCCTCATGAGCCATGCTGCCCTGTCCTCGACCTTGTTGTACCACACCTCCGGTTCCTTGGCGCTCTCTTTCGATT